TTCTCAAGCAAATCCCGGGACGTCATTCTCCCCTTGTATTCAGGCTTGGTGAGGCCGCAGCTGGAGTACTGCATCCAGTTTTGGGCTCCACAATTCAAAAAGGATGTGGAGAAGCTTGAGAGAGCCCACAGAAGAGCCACGTGCATAATCAGAGGTCAGGAAAACAGACCTTACGACGACAGGCTGAGAGCCATGGGGCTCTTCAGCCTGGAAAAGTGCAGGCTCAGGGGAGATCTGATGGTCACCTATAAGTTTATCAGGGGTGACCACCAGTATCTGGGGGAACTTTTATTCACCAGAGCACCCCAAGGGATGACGAGGTCAAACGGTCATAAACAACTACAAGACCATTTCAGGATGGACATAAGGAAGAATTTCTTTACTGTCTGAGCCCCCAAGGTCTGGCACAGCCTGCCATCGGAGGTGGCTCAAGCACCTACATTGAACACCTTCAAGAGCAAATTGGATGCTTATCTTGCTGGGATCCTATGACCCCAGCTGACTTCCTACCCTTTGGGCAGGGGGCTGGACTAGGTGATCTTCCAAGGTCCCTTCCAGCCCTAATGTCTATGAAATCTATGAAAGGAGACATTATTTTTCTGCTCCTTGACAGTATGCATGTAGTAGTTCTCAGTAATGGATCTATTGCAGATCCTTTTGAGGTTAAGATAGGAGTTAAGCAAGGCTGCATTAACACTCTTCTTGATATTCCTTAATCCTGATGCTTCACCTGACCACCAACAAGTTTCCAGTTTAAGTGGAGCTACGCTGTTTAATTTTAGCCAACTCCGAAACAAAAACAAGACTACCCCAACCGCAATCATTGAGCTCTAGTACACTGATGAAGCTGTAGTGTGTGCTCACTCAGAAACAGACGTTCAGGCAATCGTCAACATCTTTACCAAGGTATACAAGAAAATGGGACTGATGCTTCACATTTAGAAGACAAAGGTCCTCCATCAACAAGCTCTTAAGGAGCAGTGTCCAGCTCTGGTAATTCAGATTCAGAATAAGAGTCTGGAGCAAGTTGAATATTTTTCATACCTCAGATGCCATCTCTTGCAGAAGGCTGATATTGATGACGAAATCCAACATCAGCTCAAATGTGCAAGTGCAGCCTTTTAGATGCCTGAGGAAATGCATGTTTGAAGATCTTGACATCAGATCTGAAACCAAGCTCTTGATTTATCAAGAAGCTGATTCCCACCCTATTGTATAAAGCTGAGATGCAGACAACATATAGGAGACACCTCAATTCATTGGTGAAGTACCATCAACACTACCTGCATAAAATTCTCGGAATCCAGTGGGAGGGTAGATGCACCAACATTAGTGTCCTCTCACAAATAAACACCATGAGCATCTAGGCAATGATCATCCAACATCAACTTTCATAGGCCAGCCATGCCATTCAGCTGTTCAGCTCCAGACTCCCTAAACAAGTTTTATTCTCTTAGCTCAATCAAAGCATAAGCTCAGAGGGCAAAGTGCTTCAAGGATGTCCTCAAGGCCTACTTGAAAAAAATGCAACATCAGTTTGTGGGAGACTATCACCCAGGACTGCCCCAAATGGAGGACGAGTTTGCAAAGATCTAAGTACTTTGAAACCTTACGATCAAGATGGAAATCCAGGGGTGGCAGAAACAGCATGTCACAGATCAAGTAGAAAATCTGGAGCCACCCAACCCACATAGAATCACAGGCCCAAGTTGCAACAGAGTTCATTGATCTTGGTTCTGCCTTGTAACAGGGAGACAAACAACCTTGTTATGAGAGATAATACTAGTAAAACTTACCAGAAGTCAGAGATGCCAGGCATAGATGGTGATGTCATCAAGTGGCGTCTCATGGCGGGCCAGTAACACACCTAAAAGAAGACATTAATTGTTGACTGGAAGAGGAGTGCAGAGGAAGCATTGAAAGATCACCACCCACAAGCCTCTACCCCCAGAAGAAGACAGAGTTTGAGAGAGAGCAACCAGGAAGGTTGAGGCAGCTCATCCAGAGGCATGGCAACATGTTAGTGACTTGTCAGGATGGACAGTATGCACCCAGAAACATGGAGGTAACTTACCCGACCAAGCAAGAGGTGAGAAAGCTCTGGGAGATGGGTGGACATGGGTCTTGTGTTTGCCACATCTCCCACAGGGTTACTATCTGCAAATGTAATAATTCTACCCTCTATTTCATCATCTCACTCATCAATAACAATGTTTAAAAGCACCAAACCCTGAACAAACCCCAAAAGAATCTCACTTAATAAATCCTTCAATTTAGACATGATAACAACACTTTGAGAGTCATGGGTTACTGGTGCCTCCTGAGTCAAGGGGAGCATTTGCTCCCCAGTGGCCAGTCAGTGACCGGGGTGACATCCCCATTGTGGCAGTGGTGCACCACTGACACTTCCGGGCATGCCACTGGCACTTCTGGGTGAGCATAATCAGCCGTGGGGGGGATTGCTTCTCCTGGCACCCCCACTCCCCGGCCAGTGGTCTCAGGGGGAACACCAGCGCTCTTGCCTGCCCCCCCCGCCTGGGAACACTGGCTGTGAGGGGGTGCACCAGCATTCTCAAGGGGTGCACATGCACCCCCATGCACCCCCTGTGTGTCACCACTGTTGAGAGTGGTTTCCCAACCAGCTGTGCACCCACTTTACAGTAGCTTCAGCTAAATAATAGTGTACTGATGAGAATCTCAAACTGGAAATAAAAAATTGCACCCAGAAGGATAATAAAGCTTTTCTGGATATGTGGTGAATTCTCCGTCACCTGAAGTCTTTAAACCAAGATTAGATGTCTTTCTAATCTAGTGTATTAGCTGTAGGCCTGGTACAGGAGTTACTAGTAAATATTTATATGTCTTATGTTAATTTATACCAATGATTTTCAACCAGAATGGCATGGCACCCTAGGGTACTTTGAGATCCTTTTAAGAGTTCAGCACAATATTAGTACTGTTACATGTGCCAATACCTAAACATTATTCACAAGATAAACACAGAGATTACAAATAGGAATCCATTGTGCCTAAAACATTCTGACCTTTTCTGGTCGTTCTGAGTTCTTGGCAAAAGAAGAGTTGCTTTATTATTTCCCATAGACAAAAAATGAGTGAAATCTAAGAGCTACCATTTTTGGATCGGGGGGGGGCAGGTGTGCGGATTTCAGTCAAATAAGGTTGAGAACCACTGAACTAAATGATCATTACCCTCTTGCCTAAAAATCCATGAAAATCAGGCATACATAGAGTTCACTCTAATCATATTTTGTAAATAGTTGTTTAGAATTTACCTTTAGAAACTAGCAGACCCTTATTAAATTACTAAATACTATTTTCATATAAATTGGCTACAGCTATAAAAGGGTATTTTGACAATTTTACCAGCACTTACATATTGAATGGACTATAATTTAACTATGATAAAGGAAACAGAAAAACTAAATGGCTGTTGTGCTAGACTACAGAGTTTGGTTTCCTGTAGAGACCAAATATAATTCCCAAGTGTCACATATGCTTGAAAACCCAGTTACTCTTTATGAGATATAAGTGTCTCTAATGTTCCTCCAATTTTTAGGTATTGGGTATATTAGTTCCTGGGAAAAATAGGTTTTATTTATTAAACTCATCACTAAATTCAAATATTTGTAAATAAGGGCAGTGTACCTTAAAGTGAATATTTTCATGAAATACATATGTTTCTGGTTTCCTCACATCCTGGCAATGTACTTGATATCCACTCAATTTTCATTGCTTTCAGTGACTTGATGAACTCTGTATTATCTTAACCCAGGACTGTCCAACTTTGGTGCGGTTGGGGGCCACACAGCACACTAGCCATATGCTTTGGGAGCAGATGCCCCCTGAGGTCATCCTTCCCCATTGTGTGGGCTGCCCTGGTGACTCCCCACAGCAAGGGCACCGCTGGCAGCACCTGGTCATCCAACTCTTGCCACATAGGCAGTACCAGTGACATGCAGGCCCCTGCTCCATGCCTCATGGGTATCACAGGTAACACATGGCCCCTCCACACCTTCCCATGCCATATAACAGTTGGAGAGACAGGTACAGAGGCCTACAGGCCACATGTTAACTGTTCATGGGCCAGATGTAGCTCATGGGCCACAAGTTGGACAGCCCTGGCCTAACATCTCTTGAAATCTGGAAAACCAAAATAAAATTCTCAGACAATCTTTAATGAGGGGCTTGGTTTTATTAACATAATTAAGCCACTGCAGATATACCCGTACACTTCCGTGTGGACATATTTATACTAAATGGTATATTATACCAGAACAGAAAAGAATGTCATAAGAATATCAGTACAGTTCTTCTAGTAAATTTCTTCAAATAGACAAGCATTTTTAATGTTGAAAGAGACAGGATTTTTCACTTTCTCCAAAACATTTTGATTTTCTAGCTTTGAAACATTTATGGAGCTTTTCTATATAGCTGCAACATAATAAGTTAAATTACAGTATTCAATGTAAGTGTTTTAAAATATGGACATTAGAAATAAAGTTTCCACAATTAGCTTGACCTGATCTCCTGCCAAACTACATACCATTTGATATATGACATCCATAATAACTATCACACTTATCCAAAGATTTTTTTCAAATGTTTTGGGAGCTGTTCAAGTTTTAACTCATCTCCCCTTTAACCTCTCTAATATAAGTAATCAGTAAATATAGCCTCTTCCATTTATTTTGGGGAATGCATTACCTTGTGATCTATGTCACTGACCTGGATGTAAATGGATGATTGGTTCCAAATCCACAACGAAGGAGAATTAAATCATTAAAGAGGTCTTTGTAGTCTCGAAAAAAAGGGTAAGCAGTATAGTTCTGACTTCGTACTGGTTCTTTAACTTCATCACATCATGGGTTAACTTCTAGTTTTAAGAGTTAAAATTATGTTTAAAAAGAAACTCAGACACATAAAGGTGAGGAAATCAACATGTAAGGCCAAAAAACCTTGTCGCATAAAGACTAATGCCATAAAGTAAGCATACCACTAAAATCTTAATGAATGTAGTCCCAAACTATATTAAATTGATTTTAAAAAATTAGTTGTTTTTCCTGTGTAGTTGTTACTATAGGGAAGAATTAAGGTTGTTTGGATGATTTAATTGTGCATTGTGCATCTTAATACTTTTGGGCCACGTCCAGACATGCATGGATGTTTGGTTCCTCAGGGACAATTAGCGGCAGCACACCTTGTGCTGCTGCTAGTTGTCCCCAGTGAATGCCTGTACCACGCACATGCTGGTACACAGCAAGTTACCCCAAGTGGGGTACAGGAAGCTGAGGCCATCACCCAGCTGGACCCAGCAGTCTTACCTGAAGTCCTGGGGGCCTCCTGGGCTGTAGAAGTGGCAATCCTGCTAGGCAGAGCCTGGCCAGCAGTGGAGCACAGCTCCGGATGGTCAGGCTCTGTCTTTGGGCAATGCATGCTGGCACTGCATTAGAAGCTCTGCTTTATTTCTCCATGGGTTTTTTGGACCCTTGGATATCCAAGGGTCAGAAAACCCCACCACACTGCTTCCTTACGGAGTGGAGAAAAACAAAACATGCTGTATGTGACACTGCAGACATGTCTACTGTGCCATATACTGCATGTTTTGTTGTTCTCCACACTATAAGGGAGCGGAGAACAACATACTGCAACACATACTGCACGGCCACGCTCACCTGGACATGGCCTTGGATACCTTTACCTCTAAATTTCCTAGAGTTGTAATGTTTACTTTTTCATATTTACAATGACAAAAAAATGTTTTTACAATAAAATGACAAATATTTTTTCTCAATCTATACTCAACTGTATATCATTTGGTTTGTTTTTTCAGAGAATATTCTCTTGCTTCTCTCTTTTAATTGTTAAAACTTTCATGCACCAGCAATAAACAAGAAACCCAAAGATAACACTATCCAATATAATTAATAATTTAAATATAGAGTTATATTTTTTAAATAAAATTTAACTTCTAAGCAGAGATTTACTAGTATAGAGTGGCACAGCACAGCCAGAGTGTGAAGGCCACTTAACTGCTTTAGCCTCTTTGCCATGTTGTTGTAGCACAAAGTGGGAAATAAAATTTGCCCTTAATGCAGACTTGTAAACCAAGAAGTTAACTCCATTTTATGTGAAAGGTGATAAGAAGGCCTAGTCTTTTGGTGGCAACTAGATCTGGATAATTTTTTTCAGCAAATATTAAATTAGGCAAAATAATTTAGCATCAATAACCCACCAAATTATTAATAAATTCAGGTCTATTTTGTCAAATAACACTGACTCTAAAAGAAATTGGGGTCTAGAGAAGTAGCCGTATCCAAAAGTATAACTGACCAATACTATGCCTCGGGCACTACAAGGTACCCCTTTTAAGCAGGATTAGCCTAAAATTGCCATTTTTAAGATGCATTAAGGGCGCATGTCCACACTTGCATGCCCTTAATGAACCTTAAAAATGATGATTTTAGGCTAATCCTACCTAAATTTGATACTTGCATAAAGCAAGTATCAAATTTAGGCATGATTAACTAAGTTGTATTAGCCCATGTGAGATGCTTAATGCAGATTAACATGTCTGCGCAGGGCTAATGCGACTTAACTAATTGCACCTAAAAGTTAATGTGCCTTAATGTGCATTAGTGTGTCTACGTGTAGACATGTGCCTAAATCACCATAATGCACATTAAGCACAGGCGCATTAAGTTTAGGTGCATGTAAATACACGTGTAGACACAACCACTGTGTTCACCATATCGTACATCTTCCTGCAGTGGCTCCAGCTGAGGCAGCATGGAAGGCAAAGTAGTGGCCAGAAAAAGAGCAGCCAGTGGCCAGAGTTCATTTTGCTGAGAGAGATTGTGTCACCTCCTTTTTTTGCTGCCAACTTGCATGTCCAGCAGCCAGGAAAACACATCTTTTTAATTGAAAAAAAAGGAAGTGATATCCCTCCCAATAGCAGTGAACCACCAGCTGTTGCTCCTGCACTGCATGCCATCACCACTTCCCTGCTCCTCCTCCTGCTAGAAATGGAACCACTGCAGGGAAGGTACAGCAAGTTTATGAGGAAACAGGGGATGGGGGACAGGAGGGTGAGGTGCCCCTTGCTTAGGCAGCACCCATAGCTTGTGCCCTCCTCACCTACTCACAGTTGTGCCACTGTCCTTCTATACAACATCTCACTGTTTACTGTACATACCCAGTACGTGGGAGACTTGAGTCCAATTTCTTCTTCTGCCTGATAGGATTCAAACACGTATCATCCTACTTCCCAGGAGCATGACCATTAACCAACAAGCTAAACAATTATTCTCACCTCCCTGTCTCAATGACTGTTTTGTATTTACGCATGAGCAAAGAAAGGTAGTTAGACATGTTAGTCTGAAGTCAGGCATCAGAAAGGGTAGATTTGTACCTTATAGATGAACTAAATCAGTGACATGCAACATCTGATTAAGTGAGCTGGGGTTCACAAAAGTTTGTGTTATATATTGCCGGTTTAGTTGGCTATAAAATAAAAATCTACCCTGCCTTCTGCTTGTATCTATACAAAATAGAACTGTTCCTGCAAGAGCAAGTGACAGAACCACATCCAGATTGTGCTATAGCCAGGGGGTTATTGATTCAAGTTTGGGATTACCAAACTGCAGCTAACACAACCATACTTATACCAAACAGTTACAAGTATTTTTGGACTATACACAAAACATAAGATATGGAAACTAATATGTTCTGATTATAATGTTTGAAAGAAGTGGACAAGTTGTTCTACACATGAAAGATAGGAAGGAAGATCAGATTAATGAGTCAATGCTTGTAAAGAGAAGATTGCCACGTTGTTAAATTTGGGGAGAACAAGAGTTGACATTGGAAATTAGTGGTGAAATCCAAAAAGATCCCCCCTCACCGGGGAATAGCCCTGTTTTACATACCTATTATATGACCAAGATAACAAATGGCATTTTAAAAGTTAACATACGGGCAGTTTTACATGTGTACATGTGAAATGATGCACATGGAAACACCTTAAAATAATACAAGGCATTTTGAGGACTAAACAGAGGTTGACAGCATCTCTAATTTATAAAGCCCTCTTCAGAGGCACTTAGTATTTATCATGAAATATATTAGAGTGCAGAAAGGCATTATGAATTTTTAGCTGAATTTTTATAGTGTCTAAATTTCCTTCTCATTCTTGACAACTGTATGCAGGACATTTTAAAGACAATCCTAGTATCCTTAAGTTTGACAAGTAAAAGCTGTACATGACTGCTAACAATAAAAAACCTTTGCATAAATCAAGTTTGATTTCAGACATTTCCTTTCTCCTAAGTTAGAACTAATGGCAATAACTGCTACTGCATTACTGAAAAACTAAGATGTCCATGTACCTAGAAGAAATTGTGATATCCAGTTATCACATCAGAAGAGGCAACCTGGAAATAGGATTCATTCACTTTAATCCATTACTCTGTCCTTCTAAATAGCTTTTCTGTATGAAGTTGACATCTTTACTTTCTTCTGTGGAGATGTCTATTTATTTTAGCAATATTTTATGTTTGATGCTCATGGGAGAAACTCCAATCATCTCTACCTTCAAAACCAAGAAATAAAGAATCAGAAATACTCACTGGTACACACAAGAAAATATTAATCTATTTGGAAGCTGAGTAATTAAAAGGTAACAAGAGAATAAAAGCAACTGGCTAATAGGTCAGTTCTGAGTAGGGCCTCAATCCTACAATTTAAAATATTCAGGC